AGGCTTTCCAAACCGATTCGGGGAACACATGGTCCGATAGTTTGGCAGGTCTGGCCTCAACGTTCGGCCACATAGGTGCTTCCACAAAGGCAGGGGGCGGCGGTGATTCGCCGTAGGCGTCTTCGATAAGAGAAGACAGAAAAGGGGTGAACGAGAAGTATACCATAAAATGTTCACGCTACGACCCGCCCAACGGCTCAGGCCCAGCACCCCCGGAGGCTGGCGAAGGACCCCCATCTCGGCCCTCGTCCTCGCGCCGCGTCGACTGGGGCTTCGTCGGCGGCGGGCCCCCGCGCCGTCCACGGCGCCCGCGACAACACCCACGACGTGCGTCGGCGCTCCCCCGCTTCCTTCGGCAAGGCTCGCGAGGCCGGAGCGCCGGAGGGCCACATAGGAGTGGAGGAGGTGCACCGCCAGGGCCCCCAGCGTGCGGGCCTGGGGCATGAGCCCTCTGCGGGGGCCGGCCACGCAGCTGCTGCACCACCAGTCGGACGTCGGGGGCCCACAGCAGCAGGGGGCTCTGCGGGGCCCTGGAACCCGAACGTGCCGATCCTTTCGCCGTGTGGAGAAGCGTACTCGGCCACGACCACGTACTCGGCCACGACCACGACTGCTATGGCGTCTCGCAGGGGCTCGTTGTTCATGTGGGCCCTGTCGGTGTACAAGTGCCAACGGTGAGCTGGCCGATCAGTAGGGGGACACATCTTGATGGCCACCTTGGCCACCGAAGATAGGGCGTCCCCAGGCAGGTTGCGCGTAAGTGAAGGCCTGCCGACATGGGCCAACAGCTCCAAGAACGTGGTGAACCCCTCCTCCTCCCCCTCCTCCTCGCCCCCCTATCCCCGTCTGCATAATCCCTTGTCGAGGAGTCGAAGGGGCCGGGAGGCCGCGGCACGTCCGAGTGGAGGGGCAGGGACCCCTTCCCTGTCCGATCGAAGAACAAGCAACGGCATCAACGTATGTAAACTTTCGGAGGTCCGCGCAGATCTCTTGGATCGGCGTTCGACTTTCCTCTCTGGTGTTCCTTGGCGCGCGGAGCGCGCCAGGAGCGGCGCCACATGCGCCGCCGGGGGGGGGGGGGGCCCAGAGCCGATCCATAAAACCAGCCCGGGCCTTTGAAAGCTTATGATTGCGACGTGTTTTCTTCTGTTATTCCCGTTCGTCCACGTGCCGCCGTTGGCCTCGTCAGATAGCTACGAGCACCGCAATGGAGTGGGCACGAGCAGCTTCACGATGGGAGACAGAGCTTGATGTGTAGACACAAACACAGCGAATGGTGGGACAGCCATGGATAAATTGGTTAGCTGGTCTGGTGCGATACACACAGCAGACCGCCCCAAATCCGTCGTGGAACCCGACCGTTCCTATAGACATGCGGCAACAGAGGAACGGGGCATGTTTACAGTCAGAGACTGTAGATCAATGAGTTGTAGCGCTGCGGTAGCTTGCTTAAGCAATACACGCACACTTGATTTGCACGCCATTGATGTCTCTGCCCTTGCCCCTCGTTCCCCGCGCTTTCCTCTCCCCATCCCTTCCCGTCTCCCTCGTGATGTTGAGTTGTAGAGGCCTCCGGCCTGTGCCGCCGATCTGGGGCGCTCCGTGCGCTCTCGTCTTGCTTAATCTGTTCTGAGCTTATCTCGATGAGGCAGGAGGGAGGAGAAGGAGGAGGCGGAGGAGGAGGAGGAGGAGGAGGAGGAGGAGGAGGATGAAGAGGAGGAGGAGGAGGAGGAGGAGGAGGAGGAGGAGGAGGAGGAGGAGGGGGAGGAGGAGAGGAGGAGGAGGAGGAAGGGGCAGAGGAGGAGGAGGAGAAGGAGGAGGAGGAGGAGGAGGAGGAGGAGGAGGGGGCAGTATGTGTTGGAAGAACTGTTTGCGTCGTGTCCGTCGGTCGAGCTTGTGGGCGGGCCAGTTCCTGGACGGGTTGGCTTGCTGATCGGCTCCGACGGCGTCGCAGTCCATTGGCGGACCCAGCGACCAGGCCTCCGAGTGACACCAAGCCTCTCACCAAGAGCGTATTGGTGATCATCCTCATCTTCCTGTTTGGCCGACCAACTGGGCTCCGCCCCGGCTGCGTCGTGATGTTGTTGTCCAGGAAGCTGAAGGGGCCAACCGTCATTCCATCGGCTGGCTGCTGACCGGCCTGGGAACCCGTGACCCGGGCCTCGTAATCGTGCTCGTGTAGGCGGTCAAGCTCTTGCTGTTGACCCTGTCGGCTGTGCCAACCATCCTGCCGAACCGTGTCGCCCGTGCCGATGGTTGCCCCCATCTGCTCCTCTGCCGCGCCGTAGCGGAAGGGGCGGGCGCGCGGGAAGTCAAAGGCGTATTGCGCGCGCCAGCGCCTGAACTAGAGCTCGGGCTGCCACGGGGGCATGCTGTTGTTGCTGAGCTATCGTCGCGGCGGGCTGCCGAGGAACGGAGTGATGTGCCTGCGGGCCCCGCGTCTTTGTAGACATTCATGGGGTTCGTCTCGTAGGGCTGCAGGCGGTGCTCCCAGGTGGAAGGAGCCGTCGCCGCCGTCTGACGAACGGGATAGCCAATGGGTGGGGCCAGTTCCATCGCTACCCTGCCAAAGCATGCCCATCATGATCGACAAGGCTTAAATCGCAAAAGGGCCCATCGGGAGACTCGATGGGGCATGGGGGTCCGTCTCCTGAATCGGAATCGTAGATGTGCTGCTCGATGTTACCTGCGCTCTGATGGCGCCTGGGTCGCAGCGGCGCCCAGGGCCCGCCGAGCCAAGGCGTGGCGGGCATGAGGGGCAGCTGGGGCGCCCAAAGCATCGGGGCGCGGAGCCGAGGCCCGGTCTGCGCCAGTGGCTGCTGGCCGGGCTGGGCCCCGAAGCTTCCGTCGCCCCCGCTGGCCCGCCGGGGCCGCAGGGGAGGCGCCTCCCGCGCCCGCCTCCGCCGCTGCTGCTGCCGCTGCTGCCGCTGGCCGCTGCGCGCCCGGGGCCGCTGTTGCGGGCGCGCCTTCTGGACCTGGCTGTTTGTCATCGGCTGAGTCGACCTTGCGCTTCTTGGCCTGGGGCCTGGTGGCCATCGCTGCGAGCTGGTCCCTGCGCTCCTCGAGGTCGGGCGCCGCCGCGTCGAGGACGTTGCCGACTGCCATGGCCAGCTCGGTCTTGAAATCCTGCTCGACCTTGTCGAACCGCTCCAGTTCCTCCGTTCCTTCGCCGAGACGTCTAGGCCCGTCGAGTTTCAAGACCTCGCCGCCCACGAAACCAGCCACCCCATCAGGCTTCTCGAGGAGGCTGGGCAGGTGGACGATCGTGCCCGTCTCCGACTCTGCTTTGCCAGGTGCGTGCTCGGTCTCGGCCCACTTGGGGAGCTGGGCCTTGACGGCAAGAGCCTGGCGGGCCTCGCTGAGCTGCGCCTTGGCCTGCCCGATCGCCTTGGCCGCGTCCACCGTCTCCACGTGGCGCGCCTCGTGCCAAAGCTGCGCCCCCTCCTCGGCGACGGCTTCCCGCTGCAAGTTGGTCTCAGCCCTGCGGAGGGCCGCCGGAGCCATCGGGATGTCCATCTCGTGCATCCGCGGCTTGGAGGTGGCGGCCTTGAGCGACGGCCTGACTGCCTCCTGCACCTAGGCGAACTGCTCGGCAGGGGGCATCTCCTTGACCAGGCTGCCGGCTCCCTCCAGGCCGAGCTGTGGCGACTTGGCCCCAGGCGGCGGCAGGTCCGCCGACCGCGGGGCCAGCTGGCTCTGGCCGCGCGAGCCTGCCGTGGTCCTGCGCCAAGGGGCCCTCGCCTCGGGACCCGCCGCGCCGTTGCCGCCGCCTTGGCCCTTGCCGCCTTTGCCGCCGCCGCCGCCTCGGCCTCGGCCGCCTCGGCCTGCACCTCGGGCTTTGCCGGCGCCGAACTGTTCTCCGTACCGGTTGTGTACGCTGCCCCACTGCCGAAGTTCCAGCCGCCCCCGCAGCTGCCGCACTTGACGTAGCCGTCCGTGGGTTGGGCTGGGGCTGAGGCCGAGCCGCTGCGGGCGCGTGGTGGGCCCCCTGGTGGCACTCTGCTGAACCTCGCCGTGGTGGCCCGCGAGGAGGCGCCTCGCCGCCTCAAGTCTCAGCAACGAGCGCGTCGAGGTTCGCGCGCGCCTTTCCCTCCTGTGGGAGGCGAGCGAGCGGGGGCTGTCGTGCCGCGCCTCGCCACCAGCCGCTATCGCGCGCACCGCGGCCCGCTCCGTCGGGCCTGCGGCGTCTGGGGGCTCGGCCATGGGCCGAGACAGACCGCGCCTGCAGAGCCAAACCTAAAATTATGTTGTTCCCATCCTACTTAAGGGCCGCGTCCCAGAAATAATTTAGAGCACCCGGAAAAGTATCAAAAGAGTGTCGAAACAATGTCAAAACAATGTCTCCCAGGGCCCGACACGTGACAACCCTTGAGTTTCGGTGCTTTTTTCCTGGCGTTCGACATTCATCCCGGTGGTCAAGGCTAAAGTAGGTTGGAACATCATAAACCTAGGAAGAGGAGGAGGAGAAGGAGGGGGAGAAGGAGGAGGAGGAAGAGAATGGAGAGGAAGACGACGGACGACGGACCCCTCTGGAGCTGGTGTCTGTGTCTGAAGACTGGTGAAGTGCTGTAGGACCGAGCTATGCCCGAAGATTGAGGGCCATTGCCCCTGCGCGGCCTACGTAGCTTCGAAACTACCGGCCTCCCCGGCATAAGCGGGCAGCAGTGCGGGCGAGAGAGGGGGGAAGCCAGCAGAGGCAAAAGCAGAGGAGGGGGGAGAGGTTAGAGGAATGCCCTGGCCCGCCCCCGTAGACCGCGTGCCGCGGCCTCCATCTCCCTCGCGATGTGGCGGTGGCGGACGCGGGGGTGGGGGGGCGCATGCCGTGGCGTTGCGATCCTCCGTCGTATTATGACTACCCTGCCTAAGCGACTGCGCACTTAAGCTACGGTCGGGATTAATAGGCGATTTCTGTCGCAACGCCTGCCGCTCGCCACCTCTGTGGGGAAAAAAGCAGGAATTGTCGCAGCGCCGATTCCCTTCCTCACTCCCCGGGCCGATGCCTACTTCATGTTGTGGGTGTTCAGGCCGGTGTGCAGGATGCGCTCGAGATGGCTCATTGGCGCCGCACCGCGTTCGCGAACGGCTCCGAGCTGTTCGAGGTAGTTGGCGATCACGGTTGTCTGCGCGTTCACGTTGAGCTGTATCTTCACGTCTGTCTCCTTGTAGGCGCTGCTGACCTTCGCCGTCGTGAAGATCTCCGGCGCCGCGTCCATGGACAAGGAGTCCACGTGCTGCCTCATCTCGGTCAAGGCCATGCTGTTGGCACGTCCCACCGCCTCCCCCTCCTTGACCGGGCCGTCCGCGAGTCCCACCGCGCGTGCCAATGAGATCGCGCCGCGCTTGGCGATCTCGGCCTCGGGCTTCGCCTCGGCGCGAGCCTCCTGGACCACCTCGTCCCAGCCCTTGGCCCGCTTACGGGCGAGCAGCACCGGCTGCAGACCAGCCGGCGCGATGAGGGTGGTCAGCGTCGCGGCTTCCTGCTGCCGGGCGCGGGCGCCCAAGTTCAGCGGCAGCTTCAGCACGACCGGGAGAGCCTCGCTATCTCGGAGGCGTCCATCTCCTCGAGTCCCTCCATCACCTCGTCGTCCACCAGATTGCTGTCGGTGCGCTTTTCGCCCTGCGCGCGGCCCTCCTTCTTGCCCTTCCCCTTGCCCGCGTCGGCCGACACGCGGCCTCTTGCCTGCTTTTGCAGGCGGCCTGCCTCTAGCTCCATCGGGGCGGGGAGGGCCGAGAACATGCCGCCGGAACTTCGGAAGAGGCTGCGGCAAGTGTTGGGCGAGATGGTCCTGCAGGGCTTGGAAATCCTGAAAGGGTTGCAAACAGATCGAACATGTGTCGTTGGGGGGGTCTGCTACTGGGTAATTTCTTGCCGAACCGTCTACAATGCACCTTCCGTGCCTGTAAGCGTTAGTTAAATGACGGACCGCCGTAGTCCTGTCCTTGAACGTGCTCTTGCACGCCACGCATTGGTTCGTCAGCGTCACTGCGCACCCCCTCCCTCCGTGTTATCCGCCCGTCGATTGTTGTTGGTGTACCGCCAAGGCCTGGTTAGATCTGAATCGCTGCATGCGCGCATGCCCGTCGGCAGTCAGCAAATCGCACGCGTGCTCGCCGTGCCCCCATTCCCCGCCCGCTCTCTGCCGTGGGGTCGGGGGGAGGTAATGGGGTGAGCAGCCATTCTGCGCGGATTACTGCAAAATCCATTAAACGAAAAATGCGGCGCGCCTCCCCGTCTCTGAAAATGTTCAGCGGATCATCCCCGATTGCCTCCCAAAGGTCCCTTCCGACTTCCAAGTTTCGAAGAGATTCTAGATCCCCGCGGAATTGCACAGACCATGGATTGCTTGTCGCTATAGTGGGAGGGGCGCCGGAGTCGGGAGGCAGCCAAGAGAAAAACTGAGGGCGTGGAAGTTCATTCCGGAAGACACCGAACACAGACGCAAGTTCCTGACAGTGCCACTCGGGCCGTGCAGAAATCTTCTGCCATTCTTTGTGCCTCTGAACTCGAAGTTCGATGGCAATGGGAACGAGCCTCAGACGTTTCCAGACTTCCAGATTCGAGGGGGAACGAATGACCGTGACCTCCCTCCCTTCCTCGTCCACCTGGATCTGCTTCTCTGCTACTCCCCCGAGAAGGGCTCGTCCGTATCTCACGCACGTCGAGTCGATTCGGTCGATCTGCGCATTACCCAGCACAAGCGACGTAAGCCCATATATACCCGCCCCTACAACGTTGCTCCGATAGACCATGCGTTTGTGACGCCAGCTTTTGCAAGATGACCAAAACCGTTTCATAGAGTGCCATTCCCTCCAAACCGCGGCGCACCTCGCTTCAACATCAGGCCACCAGTCGTGACCAGCATCGAACAAGGCTCCCAAGAAGGGAGTGTTTTGAACGACGTGCCCCGGTAGGGACCAAGAGTTGTAATACACGTACTTTGTGAAACGGTGCGACCCTGGACCGACATAGAGTGGGACAATGGCTTTCTTGCCTTGGCTTTGGGAGACGCCGCTTTGGCGAAGCTCTCTGTCAAAATCGCATCCGAACTCCGAGTCACAGTGCACGTATGTTCCGGGTCGCTCGTTTGTTGCGACTTGTTCACGTCGTCAGCATACACACGCAGTGACAGATTACACTCTCTACCTGTGATGGGGCATATGGCATACAGATCATGTGGGTGCCGCTGGCTTAGTTGCGACGTCCAGCTCTGGACCGGCACACTGAAAGCATCCCGAAACACTGTTGCTGCAACCCGCGTCCCCTTGAAGACTCCCCGTTCCATTTTTGAACCATTGGTTAATACCGTCGGCCTGCACAAGGAACATAGCATCCCGGTGTCGCTGGCACAAGAGAGGGGCATCGTCCTTGTGGTAGATTCTGTAGGTTGCGTCGTCCAAGCGCGGGTGCACCACAGACGCAAAGGCATTTGTCATGTCGTGCTTGGTATCAACCACTGATATGCGAGCGGCCCTCGCCTTCCACCCAAGCACGGCCGTGGTCCTGATAGCTCCAGATCGCGACCTGCCCTTGAGATAGCCGTATTCTTCGTCGGGAATTTGGGGGGCTCCACGTCGGGCCGATTTGACCCAGGCTTTGCCGAAAGAGCAGAGGCCGTGGAGCAGTCGTGTGCCAAACGTGCGCGCCTTCCCGTTGAATTTAGGAACCTGGTAGGTCTGGGACTGGTCCCACTGCGTCAGAAGCCGCCCTCGCCTTCGAACCCCGGCCAAAATTGTCGTAACCCATTCGTTGAACAATGGCCCTGGGGGTTTCAGCGGGGGCCGCTCCGAGACCAGCCGTAGTCGTCGTAGGGGTTGGACGGTTGGACATGAGAAGGGCCCAGACCTCCGAGGGGACCGACCAAGGCACTGCTGCCCGGCGTCGTTTCCCAACTCTGAATCGCTCGGCGATGCGTTCTCGGTCGATGTTGGCTCGCAACCAGTTCTCGTCCGACAATTGGGTGTGTTGGTGAAGCATCTCCTGACAGCGGTCTTCCTGGACAGGGTCGGTCGGGGTCGCAAGCATGCCGCCCTGCTGGGGGGGTAGGGCGAGGTCTGATATCCACTCGTCCATGGTAGGATGGGAATCTGGGAGACGGTTGTAATTCCGTTTCCGGGGACCCACTCCGCTGCATGCCAACAGGCGACATATCCTCCACTCCTCCTGTGCTTCCCCCCGTCGGTGCGCCTCCTCCAGCTCCTGTCCCAACTGTTCCTCCCGCAGTCGGTGTAATTCGCGTCGCATCGATCGGCATTGTCGGGTTAGCCGGCCCAGACGTTGAACAGTCTCGATATCATCCGTGATCGCACTCCGAGCTTTCCCTCGATCCTTGAGGGCCTGCGTGCGCTGTCGTGCGAGAAGCTGGTACTGCTGTGGTAGAGCACGCGGGGATGCCCCAAAATGAAAACCCCCCTGTTCCTGCAGGATCGACACGAGCTGTCCCCATGTCGATCCTGCATGAAGAGGAAGAGGAGGAGGAAGAGGAGAAGGAGGAGGAGGACAATGAGGAGGAGGCGGAGGAGGAGGAGGAGGAGGAGGAGCAATAGGAGGAGCAGGAGGAGGAGCAGGAGGAGGAGGATGAGGAGGAAGAGGAGGACGAGGAGGAGGAGAAAGAGGAGGAGGAGAAAGAGGAGGAGGAGGAGGAGGACGAGGAGGAGGAGGAGGAAAAAGAGAGGAGGAGCGGACGACGCTGGGGAAAGCAGCGGGCGAGGCGGCGCCAGCCTTGGCGCCCTTGGCCTCCGCCTCGGCCACCCTGGCCTCGATGGCCTCGGGGCCGCGGCGCTCCGTCGTCGGTCGTCCGTCGTCCGTCGTCGTGGTCGTTGTCGTGGTCGTGGTCGTCGTCGTCGCCGCTCGTCCTCGTTGCCGCAGTCGTCGGCCCCTGGCTAGAACGAGATTTTGTTTCACCCGACTCGGCCTCGACCGCTGTGCGAGTGAAAAGGTCGACCAGCAAACCGGGAACACCACACAAGCGGACCTGCGATGGGTAAGCTCCTGCACTGAACCGCGGCCTGAAAGCTGAGCGAACGTGCCGCGTGCGAAATGAGAGGAAGAAACGAGGAGGAGAGCGAGGGAGGGATAAACAACTGACATGCCTAGTGCGGCCGAGCGGCGGGTGGTAAACACTAGACACGAACTGTACAAGTACAGTCAAACACGCGCGAGGAGGGTTGCCAACTCCACAGGCCGCTCCGTCGAGGCGGCTGGGGCGAGCGGAAGCCGAGGCTCAGAACGGCCAAGCTCCTCAGCCACGCGGTGGGGCGCAGTGAACTGTTGAAGCCTAAGACCCTGAACGACACGGTGAGGCTGCAAATGGATTTGAAGCCCAGTGAACCTAATGAAGATCACAGCTGGGAGAGCATGGCTGGCCGCCCCGAAGCTCGCGCGACCTGCTGGCCTCAGCCCGCGACCTGCGCAGGCGGGACGGCACCGGTGCTCTGGCGCGGCAGCCGCTCCCGAGGGCCGAACGCCTCGCCCCGCAACTAGGATTGAAGGGGCCCACAAGCACACAAGTAAAGATACACACAGATCCCAGGACTCTCCATATTTTTGACACCTTTTCTGGGCTCCTGTCTTCCCCCCCACTTCCCATATTTTCGCATCTTTTTCCTGGGAATCGACGATTCCTTTTTTTTTTTTTTTTTTCCCCCCCCTAGATGTCGCAGGCGCGCCGCGGCCCGGGCAGACTGGCGCAGGCTCGCCTGTGCGGGCCAGCACGGGGGCGGCGCGTCCAAACGGCGTCAGCAGGGCGTGCAGACGGGGGGACGAGAGAGGGGAGGAGGGAAGGAAGACAGCAGGGAGCAAGGGTAAGTCGGGCCTGTCCCCCTACCGGGGGATTTTGGACGAAAAATGACAAATATTCAAAACATGCTCAAAACGTGCCCCAAAATACTACAAAAGTAGTCCCCAGACTATTTTTGGACTATTTTTGAATATTCCCCCTGTAGAGGGACAGGCACGACTTCACGCAAGGGGCGCGGCACGGGGCAGGAGCAAGGGGAGCGGCTAGAAGGAGGAGGGAGCCAGGGGAGCGGCAGGAGGGGAGCAGCACGGATGCGCAGCAGAAGGAACTGTGAGGATCAACAGGGGCGCGGCCCGAGGTTGCCCGGCTCCGTGGACAGGTCGTCGTCCTTCCGGTGCACGAACACGCCGAAGAGGTCGGTGAGCGCCCTGACCCTTGCAGGGGTGCCCTCGAAACCCAGGAGCTTCACGAACTGCTGGAACGCGGTCTCGGAGGCGGCCATCGTGGCCAGGCGCCCGTGCTTCAGCACGGAGCTGCGAAGCCCGAGGAAGCCCTCGTAGTCGCCGACACGGCAGACAGCGAGCGGGTCGGAGTAGCCGAGGGGCGCTGTCACGCCGACCGCCTTAGCGGGATCGACGGGGCGCTTCCCCCACCGCGGCTGCCGCCGCGGGCAGCGCGCGATCCGCGGGCAGGCCTCCTGCCGCTGGCCACGGATGCGGCGACCAGGGACGTGGAGCCGAGTGGCAAGAGCGAAGCGGCGCGGGCCTCGGCGCCGAGCACCTCCAGCCGGGTCGCGCGCGCAGCGGCGGCTGGCGCGGCGCCCCTCGGGCGCGCCGCCAAGCCAGAGCCGGCGGCGGGCGCGGTGAAGGCGACCGAGCCAGCAACGGACATTGCTGGCTTCAGGGGCGCTGCGGTTGCCGGTGGTCCGCTCTCGGCGATCCTGCTGTTGTGGTCCGCTCGCTTGCTGGTTTTTGCT